GTTTGTTTATCACAAAAAAACCGCAACGGAAGTCTTACAAAAATAACTAGTTCATCTTTAGTTTATGATAAAGTCAAACCATCAAGGATCCATTTATAGAGGTTAAAATGAAATAGAAACAACCAAAGAGTTTTTAGAATGATAACCTTTGAAGTCTTTGAACCCACTTGGTTTTGGGATGTTGATGAAGATAGCAATAATTCAAGAGTAGAATTTCTCTGTGTATCCACTATCAAGAGTAAGGAACTTAGAATGCTAGTTCCTTCATGTATTCTTGAGTATCTTAAGCCTTTAAGTGCTTAACTCAAATAATCACTAAATAAGACAAATCATGAAGGTTTCTAATCTTGAAACAATCTTCAAAAGAAAACAAGAAAGGGGAGAGTAAGGTGGTTTCTGCCACATGAAGAAATGGAGATATTTACTAGAAGAACTAGCTCCAAACTCATGCAAGACATCTCTTTAAATACCCATGCAAAAGCAAAAAGCAACCCCATTAATTAATACAAAGTAATCACCTTACTTTAGAGGCATAGGGAAAAAGGAAGGAGATTGACAGACAACCTCACATACCTCTCTTAACCTTCGGCCATGCCTAATAAACAAAAAGAGTCCTTTGATTTTTATAGCTCAAAGTTTATAAAATATAAACTTGGTCTTTAGGTAAAAGATAAAAGAATCCAACTAGTCTAAAAGGTTGTGTATGACTTATTAATTCCACTTGCAAAAGGTTCATTATAGATCAACATAGATAGTAGATGATGTCTAGCAATATGCTACTACCCCTAACAACATATGAATGGTAGCATTTCATCAACAACCAATTCTAAGAGCTCTAATCTATAGTTTTTACTAAAGGTGTGGTATCAATTATTCATTTGTCTTAGATATCATCTTCAACATGAAATATGGATCATGATCAATCACACTTAGTGTTGAACTTTGAATAAGGCCTTAGATGTCTAAATCTCAACAAATAAGAAAGACAAACCCCATCTTTAACTACACACACCTATCAATGTAGTTCATGTTATACCCAATGATGGCCCTTATGACTGCCTTATACACATCATTGTTAAACCATATCAAAGCACAACAATTCCTACACCTCAAGTCCCAAATATGTATCCCAGGTCTAGGAATACAAAGATTCAATCTTGATCAAAACATCACTCTTGACTAATGATCCATAAAGTGATTTTGATGTGAATCAAGTCCAATACTTATTCTCCTAATCAAGTACCTAAAAAGTTGGTAGCAACTATTGCTATTTTCATCTCCATGAAAATCAAGCAATCCACTCATATTAGTCTTACCTCATTGATGCTCCCACAACTATTAATGACTATGGACATTTAGAATAACCTAGTTATTCAAGGATTTAAACATGCTAATATAGAACACAACGATTATCTAATGAAAGACTCATATCCAATATATCAAATCATTACAATATATGTTGCTTATATTGTTCCAATATCAAAATACTAAATTTCAATCAAATACATCTACTTATATCAACAGGGACGTATAGCACCAACTTGACTTTCATGCTTTAGCTAATGAAAGAGCTTTGTTAAATAGATTTGACAAAAATTGATTTGTACAAACTTTGTGAATACACACATTTTCAGTTTTATATATATATATATATATATATATATATATATATATATATATATATAATATTGAGAATGAATCAGATGCTTAGATATTACTTAGATACCAATACTTGTGTAATAAGATTACTCATAATCATAATCAACTATAATACATTAAGCATCTTTTTTGTGGTTCTCCAAACCACAATGTACTCTAACTATGATGTGTAATTGTAATTAAAATCTATATAGAAACACATCCGATTAAGAAACATCTCAATTTATTTGGAAGTTTAGCATATGTGCAACATTGTAAACACAAATTTCTTTGAAATACACTATAGATTAGGAACATCACTTAAGTTCTCCAAAGTACTTTAGAATGTTCCTATAAGTCACACCATGACTTGTTCTCAAATTATACTGGTATCATTCAACATGCTTTAAGCATACAACTTATCTGGTCTTCATGCATAATCATTACATATATGATTAATTAAATTGAAATAGCATATGGAATACAATCATATTATCTAGTCCAAAAAATTGCACTAGGATTTTGAGCAGTGCTCAAAATCATGTTATGTGATATTTGACAAGATTTATCTCTCAGAGTCTTTTATCTTAAGCTCTTTAACATCCTTGACAATTAATTCAATTTTACTTGATCCTTTAAGTTGCCATGATCTATGTATGTAGATCCTTATTCGAAGAATTAGTATATCGACTATATATATAAGCCTAGGAATATTACTGTGCTCCCATTAGCTTTATATAAACACAAGAGGCATCTTAATTTATAATTAATACACTATGTAATTATATTATAAGAAAAAAGATTCTTACTTTGAGATGTTAGCTTAAATCTAGAAGGATTTTCATTCATGTATGTTTTCTCCTCGGAAAACTCACTTACCTTTTATATTCATAATATATCGAGAAAGATTAATCAACCCGAAACTTGATATTCATACATGAATGCATATCTATGTATTTTATTGGTTTCACATCAAATATTGAGTAGATACAACAACAATTGAAAACTTGCTAGTTCCAAACTATGATGCATTTATCTTGTGGACCTTTAGCTCTTAAAGTTCCAAATTGTTTCCACATAGAAAAAGAACTTTCTAAGAACTTGTCTTATGGAATGACAATTAGTGTGATTATTAGAAACTTTATCCTAAACAATCATTTAGAATAATCTACATAAATGCAGTTACTAGAAGCTAGAGTGGTTAAGCTCGTTGTCTAACATAAGCCTATAAGTCCATACATTTTAGATAAGGATAAACCATTACATCCTTAGTATAATGAAAATATCTAATCTACTTCTTTGGTTGGAAAATATATATACTCAATATACATTTGTTGCAGTAAACATAATTCCAAAAAATTTATAAAGTAAATTGTTCTTTTAAAACATGATATAATAGACTGAAAAGGTCTATTTTTTATCATCCTCAAAAACTTATACCATCGACATTCAAACAGTCGCCATGTGACCCTATCCTACTAGAGAATACGAAGGATAAATCAAACATCAAAAGATAGATTCAAGTGACCAGGTGATCCTATGCCACAAGAACCATTCTCATGATGAGTGAATGTTTTTGATGGAATGGAATATGAATTGATTCCACAACTCCTAAGATGTTCCAATAAGACTTGGTTTACAAAATTCATTTTCTTTATCACAAAGAAAGGATACCTCAAACATCAAAAGATGTTCCATTAATGTGTACATCCACTAAAAGATAAGTAAATATGGATTTATTCATAAATTACAACTGTTACATGTCCTTATAAGAATATATACAAAAGTCAGATCTAAGTTTGTTAAGATGTCCTAAGGCATAAAGTTGGCAAATTTATGCCTTTGCATGAAACATATGCACCCAACACCACCATTAAGAACTTTTCAAGGTTATTAACTTATGCATGAGGTCAAAACTCCCACCAAGACTCCATTTTTATGATACTAAAGGACCAAGGGCCCTCAGATCTGTCATTTCCATCTTTTGGAGTTTCTTAACTCACAAAAGGAGGTCCAAATCAACCAAAGGGATAAATATAGAAAACCCTAGCTAGATCTAGAGATTTAAGTGGTAAGATCCAAGCTTTTTACCTCCAGGAACTCCTCAAGGTCATCTATATGCAAATTCTTGAAGCCAAATTACACTCCAAGCTTCCTTGACCACTTTCTTCTTCTTGTATGAACACTAAAAGGACCACAAATCCACTCTCAAGGCTCAAAATGCACTCACAAAGGATATTAGGGCTTCCAGGAACGTTTTAAGGTGAAGAGAGCTTATGAGGGTGAGGCTCAAGTGAGTTAAGGGCATTTAAATAGGTCACAAGTCCACAAATTAGGGTTTTCACCCTCGACACATACGCCCAACGTACTTCTGGTATGCCCAGTATACACCCAGCTCCTCTGCGACCATCCCTACATAGTACGCTAAACTTACACTTGAGTACACCTATCGTACTTAAAGAATCAATTATGTAAAAATGTAAATTCTTTAAGGGTTTCAAGCCATACCTGGTTTAGGGTGTTACACTGAGCATTTATGGAAATATGATGAAGTAATTAAGATTCCCCATGTTGTAGACCATTGTAAGGATACTTATCAAACCCAAAAAGATGTCAAACTATATCAAGTTTTTGAGGGATATCTTGAAGTGAAGAGGATGGGGATGATAGAAATATATGTGCTTGTTAGGACAAGGTGTAGATGGAATGGAAGCGGTTGCAACAATAGGATCAGTGCATCATAACACATTACACATAATGGTGACGGATGGAGAATCAGAGGAAGGATGATAGAATTCTTTAGAGTCAACGACTTCAACATTCTCATCGATATTAATATATTGATCTTGGAATTCATATGACTCTTTTTCATTTGTAGTGTAATCATCATCCTCAGGTAATGTTACAATTTCATTAAATATGCTCATCAAAAGGATATAAAGCTTCCTGGATTCCTAATGAAGTATAGGGACATATATCAGCGTGATAGGGGTTTAAGAACTACTTATCCATCCAATGAGTGATTGAAGGATCATTGGGTTTGGGTGTTACATTAACCAACTTCGTAGACATGAAAGACTTGGTGATAAAACAAAATTGTCTCCAACATACCTTGTATTAAAGTCCTCAAGAACAAGTGAAAACAAACATGGATAAGGGACATATGAAGACCTTTTCTTCCTAATGATAGAGATGATAAGTTGATAAAAAATCATTTAAGCAAAACCAAGATCTTGTTTTTCAATATTGCATACAAAAATTTGCATCTAGAACATATTTAACATATTCAGACTTCCAGTTTTATGCACTAGGTACCTACCAATAACACATGTGAGCTATTTCCACCCTTCAGGAAGAAATTATCAGAGGACCAAGCCAGGTTGATTATCTTGTTTAGAGGGATCATAACCTGAATTCGCCAAAACTTGCGTACACTGATCATTTGAAGAAATATTTGAGTATTGGATCAGATTGGGAAGTCGAAGAGCATCCCTAATGGCTTCCACAGTGAACAAAACTACATAATTTATGTTTTTGATGGTTACTTGAATAGTATCTGATTGCTGATCATAAGTTAATGCATAGTAGAACTCCCAAACATGCTTGAGAACGAATGAAACTATACAACCGGTAAGAGCATATCGTAAAGGATGACCTTTCAAAAATTGAACAAAAGCTTCTAACCCCTTATTTTTGAATTTGGTAGCATTTATCACAATAGGATTTGATGGTGTGTTGGGAGCTTTACGTGTACCTTTATTTGGAATGTAAGTGAAGGGTGGAGCCATAGTTTCCTTTTATACTTTCAAGATTGAATAATTTTAGAAAAATATCCTTAATGGATGATGTGATTTGTAATTATCATGATAGAAAGAAGCACTATAATTCCTAAATCCCCAAATAACATTGCCATTCTTATCCGAAACATTACCATTGGTAAATGTCTCTGATAAATGACACTGATCAGGTAAATCCTAAAAGAAAAAAAAAACAATGAGATAATACATCGTATTGCAGCAGAATAAGATAGGATATTTTATGTCTCACTCACTTTATGGTGTAATACAACTGTTCTTTAATGCAAGCTTTTTGATGCTTACTTACTGTATGTTTAGAATACATCGGATCCTTGATATCGGTTTGTTTTGTTATACCTCATACACTATATACAATGGTTCTTAGACATTTAAATAGATGCCATAAATTAACTATGGTTATAATAGAAAAGATCACGGTCATTAGGGTGAAATATTTTATGATATCATATCCCAATATTGATGGGTTTTGAGCATATGTACATTCCTATGTGTACATGCAACCCTACTTGCTTTGAGTCTAGGTTTTTCTCAAGTTATACATGCAAATAAGATTTCCAAAGCAATAACCCTAGATATAGTGTATATAAAATATAAATCTATATATTATTAGGGTTAGAAGAATACCTTTCTTGTTATGTAATAATAAAAAGTATTCCTTGCTTGATCTTGACATTTCAAAGATTAGTGCCCCAAATGTTAGACCTTTAATGGAGTCACAAACGCCACTAGCAAGGATGAAGGAGAGAGGTGATGGAGGCTCTTCAATTTTCGGATAGGGTTCTGATAGAATGCATAGGCCGAAAATTGTATACCAAGGGGTTCCTTATAGAGCTAAGGCTACTAGGGTTTTCAGGTGGAAACCCTAATCTGATTGCTTAGGACTTAAGCAGTCTATAGACCTCCTTCCTAGAAGCCTTGGACAATATCTATATAGGGATTCCTATAGATTTCATCCACTCCCTTTCTAAAGGACTCCATCAGCCTAACATTGCAACTATTAGTGATTTGCAATATCAGTCCCCGTTCTTTTTAATCAGTACTATTAATCCTAAAACTAATTCCAAATTAAATTTTGATTAATACTAATTAAAATATATGATTTCTCAATTAATACATTATTCTTATAATATATCAATAAATCATATATCAATCTCTTTCTCCAAAAGTCATCATGTCAAGTTGATATGGTGAAAGCAATCCAAAAGGACCTTGCTTTTATCAGATCAAGTACATACCAATTATAGTTATCGACTTAGACACCTAATCCAACAAATATATGGTAAAAATAGAAAGGGGTTAGGGACATCAAATACAGGGTGTTTAATATCCAATCTATGGTTAAAATGATAGGGTCAAGGACAGAAAGTAAACTCTTTCTCATTAAGAACCAAAAAAGTATCTCTGAGCATGTAGACTGTGCTATCAGGGTGATCTATAGGGTTATGCTCAGTATATTAGCAGAACATGAGACTTGATGCGTACAGAAACATGTTTCCAAGGGCAAGGTTTGGTTTTAAGATAAATAATTACACAATAAACATCCCATCCATCTAAGAATTTTCTTGTTAAGGACTAGACTCTCTCACACTAAAAGTTTAGACATGCTATCCAAACACCATGAGTGGATGGCTTAATAGATGGTCTTACTGATGCGATACTTAGAGAGATTTAGTCACACACTACAAACAACACAAGTTGTATACAAAAAACTTAAAACGGGAAACATCAAGTCAGAGAACATGCCTAATTTACTAGTGAAAACACTATCTTCTGTTCATCCAAGGGCTTAGTGAAGATATCAACAAGTTTATTGTCAGTCAATATGTACATCAGCTCAATCTTTCCCTTTTACATGTTGTCTTGATGATGTGATGCCTTATCTCGATATGCTTTATTTTGGGGTGATGAGTAGGTGTAACATCCATATATTCTAGGTGTTATTCTTTGAAATTATTTTGTGATTAAGTTCAAATTTAGGAAGTTATGTACCAAGTTGAGTGTATGGTAGTCCCATATAATGATTGTAGGTGAGGGAATATTGGACGAGGGTTTAATCATCTACACTGACCGTAGAGTAGGCTATGCTGAGCATAGCCATGTTGTACAAAAACCTAAACCTATGAGATTTATTTAAAGGCTCTAACTTCTTGGGATCCTCCCCATGTTCAGCCTCTACTCCCCTAAATTGCTATCTTGAAACCTTAGCTACCTTTTGTGAGTTCTGAGCCCTTGGAGTGATTTGTGTGATCTTTTGGAAAGAGAAGGTGCTTTGTGGAACCACTTGAAAGCTCTAATTTGTGTAGATCCAAAATTTGCAACCCATCATCCACCTCTAGAAGGTATAAAGCTTGTATCTTGATGCTTGTTCATGATAGGTCTAGTGGAATATAAAATACTATGCACTTTGTCTCTATTATCTTGGTCCATGTAACTATGGATTACTCCATATCATTTGAGTGCATTTTCCTAATGTTTTTAGGGTTGTAGAGTCCTAAAAATGAGAGCTTGGGCACTCTTATCCATCTATACATGCGTTCTCGAGCATAAGTTGACTTTATGAACTTAGGGTTGGGTTTTATGCTCTTTCTAGCCATGAAAATGGATAAAGTTAGAGCCTTTATCCATTGAGATATCCATTTGGTTAAGATATGAAAGTTTAAAGGGATAACTTTCTGTATTAAGAGTTTAATAGAATTTTTGGTCATTTGGGGCTACTATGAGTGTAACTTACTAAATGTTGAACGTAGTGTGTGATTTCCCTATTTTCCCACCTAGAGCTTTACACTGAGAGTAGAGCAACATGCCATGCCGAGCGTAGGTCAATTGAGGGTTGACCATTGACTTTCGATTAGTTTCATTTTTGGTCGAGTGTATTGGGGCTTAGTCTTGGAAGGGAAAAATGTTGTTTTTCTCAAAAGGAAGATTAAATGTGGACCAAGGCTCTTTGAAGGATAGTTATTAGCTTAATTTTTAATTAAGGATTTATGATGTGTATGATTCGTGTTCTTTCCAAAAGAGCAAACAATCATTTTTACACACATGTATTGACTCGTACTCAGACTAATCTTCTTTAGTTTCTTTTTGGCTAGATAATGTGAAAGGGAACCTAGTTTTCTATGGGAAATGTTGATTGCAACAACTCAAGGAGTTAATCAAATATAATATCCATCCATTTGTTGTTCACCTTGATATGCTTTAACTTTGCTTAAAAAAATAAAGGGAAGAAAAAGTGCAACTATGATACAATTTAGTTTGCACTTCTTCTAACAACAATACAAAATGACCATCCACACCGCTAGCCCCTATATTTGAGGTTCATTCATCAATGTTAGTATCATTTTCTCTTGACTCGCACATGAAATTGTCGATAACATCATCCATTTGGTTACTTGGTGCTATGGCATCTATAACCGAAGAAATTAAAGGTTCCCCATGATAGATCCATGGTTTGTACGACTTATTGAAACCATTAATAAATATATGATATTTCACTATTATCCTTACCTTGAAGTAATGATTATCACACTTTTCACATGCACATCTAATTTTACCAGTATGACTTGGACATCTCAATAAAAGAGATGAGTCCTAGTTCGAACTCGGGATAGTTTTGATGTGGATTACCAATCCAACTTTTATCAATAGACATGATGAAGCTCAAACATAATTTAGGGTTTAGAGTTTACTCTACGAAAATCAAAAATAAGATGGAGTATTCAAAAAGTGTCCCCTGAAACGGGAACAACAATTTAGAAACTGATAGAGTAGTCATAAGGGTAGGCTTCTAAACCTACTTTTTGAATACTTTATCTTATATGTGAACATTCATTACATGATTATATGCTTAGGAAAAATTAAGCAACATTTTCCTTTAGCTCCCAAGTATATATATATATATATATATATATATATATATATATATATATATATACGTACAGACATACACACATCGAAAGAGCAAAGGTAAAATGACAACCGAATTTGTCTTAAAAAAACATTCATATGTATATATATATATATATATATATATATATATATATATATATATATATATATATATATATATATATGTATGTATACAGACATACACACACCGAAAGAGCAAAGGGAAAATGACAACCGACTTTGTCTTAAAAAAACATTCATATAATAATGTTCACATTCTAAATGAGATAAAGTACTAAAAAAGTAGTCCCAAAACGCTGATAGTCTGAAATTAATTTCAAAATAAGTTTTAGACAGGTATTTCGAAGCTTATGATGATTATAATGAAGACACGCAAACAAATAGATGTTGAAAGATTTTTTTGGGTTATTTATAACATCCTACTTTTGTATATTTTTGTTATTTATGGTATTTAATTTTGTTTTAAGTTTTCTATAATAGCATTGTACTTTAAATATTATACTATGTTTTTTTTTCTATTTTAGATTGTACTTTTTCATATATATATTATTTATAACATTTTATTTTGGTTTTTTTTTTTTTTTTTTGAAATCTTGTATTTTAAATAATTATATTATGTTGTTCTCTATTGTAGTAGATTATTTTGAATAACACTGCCAATAATAGCATCCTAGTTTTTTTTCCATTATAGTGGTTTACTTTAAATATAATCGTTAATAATATCATCCTACTTTATATGTTTATTTATTATTATTTTTTTTCCATTATATTAGTTTACCATTGTCAATATTCTACACATACACACACGAAATACATATACTTTCACAAACATATTATACACACATACATACGCTGAATATGAATACATTCATATACATATATCAAATATATACACATATACCAATTTTCACCTAATATATACCAATATGCATATTTTGCAATTAATCTTGAAATTCATAGTAAATAGAACCTCTGGTAGCCAGAAATAAACAGGTAGTGAAGTGGTGGTGGTAGTCATCGCGAGTGACGACAACAATCTATCGACATTACAAGAAACCTGGATA